GTGATGAAAGCTAGTGCCGGTGTTAACATGCCGTTCCAGCCACGTTTGTTACGTGTTTTAAACGCGTGCAAACCTTGCGGAGCAGAAGCTAGTTGCAAGAAAAGTAACTTATAACTATCATAATAATGTCGCAACGAAACAAGCAGAGTGTTCGTAAAGAAATGGTATAATATAGTAACTTAGTATACATTTGCTTTTCATATCTGGATAGATTTTTCAGGAATGCTACGGAGCTCACCTGAAAAAGCTCTGGGGCGCACTGTTTGAGAACCACTGATTTAGGGTAAGACAGCTTTTAAGTTATTTTATTACTAACCGATTATTAGTTGAAATTACTGCAGTTTAGAGTTTAACTTCTTTTAATCACAATAATAAACATTGCAAACATATACTGACTTTAATAACTGTCTTTAGTTTGCAATATGTGTTAGATATTTTATACTCAGTATATGTCATAAGCCTAGTAAATCTATTACGTATAAATTACATGTAGCAAACACAGCGTTAGTTTGACAAATACAAATACAACGGTTGATTGAATAGTTTTACAGTGCTACAGCAATTGATAAACAACAAAATAAGCTCATGGTTTCTCTACGTTTAGTTTATTTTAGAAAAAACGTTCAATGATACAAAAAATAATTTTTAGATATATCATTGTACTAAACAACGAGGCTTTGATTGAATTTGAATCACGATAATTTTTCAAATCATTTTAAAGTATAAAACACATTCAAATTTAAGGTAAGTCATGATATTATCAGTTCAACGAAACGAGAAGGGATCATAATTAACGCGGAGTCGATTTTAATGTAACATATATATTTGCAGCAATAAGTCGAAAAGCTTATTACGGTATTGACTAGACAGACCACATTGGTAAAGCCGTTAAATCTAGAAATACTGCTAATACCTTTTTCTAATACATAAAAAGTCACAGTCAGTCTACGTGTTTACCTTTACAGGCAGTTTCAATAACACAAATGTATCGAAGTAATGATAGTTGAAAGCATATTTCAAAAGAGAAATTCTGACATACCTATATATATGCTATACTACAAACTATGTTCTTTGTTATTGAAATCGTTTTTTTCTTTTTCCTACTTCAGACAAAAGCTCGAGGAAGCGTAACCTATCCTAGTACTGTGTACAGCTAAAATTCCGCCCGTTTAATCATATTAAGTGTTATTTGTTGTTCGAATGTGAAACTGATTTTTCTCAGACATGATTTTGAACATTAATAATAACAATATATATATATATATATCATTGTTCAACAGTAGGTGATACTCTCTACCGTATGCTAAAACTTGTCAACAGAGTTTATGTATTAAATTACTCAATCTGACGTCTATTTTACTTTAACACTTAAACTAGTAACTTTTTTCTCAAACGTAGTGATAGCCTTTTTGTATTGGTGCGTGAAAACAATGGAATTACTGCAAGAGGCAAAAGAAACAGATTATGATTATAAAGTTACTGTGAGTCAACATTTACGCTCAACATGCACAAAATAGACACAGTTTGAATACGATACACTTCTCAACAAGTGGCTGAATAAAAGGTTTCATTCATAATTCAATCACTATTCGATATACATATTTATATCAAAGAATTAATTAATTAAATTCTGTGAACAAATTTATGAATTTCGAAGCATTAACGTGAATTGAGCGTCTGTAAAGGAACGTACAAATCTCAGTTCAGTCATAACAATATTTTTTGCCATGAGTAGTTGCTTCAAATTTCGAGACATGTCAATATTAATTTTGTATATTTTTGAGGTTATCAGCAAGCGATATTTAATCTAGAGTTGTAGAGTTTTGGAATGAATTAGTTAGAGATTTGTCCAAATAATTCAACAGATATTTAATCTAGAGTTGTAGAGTTTGGAAGTACTTAGTTAGATATTTGTCCAAATAATTCAACAGATATTTAATCTAGAGTTGTAGAGTTTGGAATTACCTAGTTAGATATTTGTCCAAATAATTCAAGAGATATTTAATCTAGAGTTGTAGAGTTTTGGAATGAATTAGTTAGATATTTGTCCAAATAATTCAAGAGATATTTAATCTAGAGTTGTAGAGTTTTGGAATGAATTAATTAGAGATTTTTCCAAATATTTCAATAGATATTTATCTAGAGTTGTAGAGTTTGGAATTAACTTAGTTAGATATTTGTCCAAAAATTCATTCCAAAACTCTACAACTCTAGATTAAATATCTCTTGAATTAAATTAGAGATTTGTCCAAATATTTCAATAGATATTAAATCTAGAGTTGTAGAGTTTTGGAATTAATTAGTTAGATATTTGTCCAAATAATTCAAGAGATAGTTAATCTAGAGTTGTAGAGTTTTGGAATGAATTAGTTAGATATTTGTCCAAATAATTCAAGAGATATTTAATCTAGAGTTGTAGAGTTTTGGAATGAATTACTTAGATATTTGTCCAAATAATTCAAGAGATAGTCAATCTAGAGTTGTAGAGCTTGGAATGAATTAATTAAATATTTGTCTAAATATTTCAACAGATATTTAATCTAGAGTTGTATAGCTTGGAATGAATTAATTAGATATTTGTCTAAATAATTCAAGGGATAGTCAATCTAGAGTTGTAAAGTTTTGGAATGAATTAATTAGAGATTTGTTCCAATAATTAATCCATGATTTTTAGTTTAGTCTGCTTGGTTTTTATATGTCATTTTATTGAAACCTAACGGTATGATATATTCCAACTTGGTTTTGCTTAACAAAACAAAAAACAACAAATCTATTCCAGTATTAAATTAAGTCGAAAAAGAATATTAAATTGATATAAGAAGAGCTCGTGATTAAAATCCATAAAAAAACATAAGCTGATTTTCATTGGTTCAAAGCTGGCTTCATATTTGCAGTCACTAGACTTTTAGCTACAATTTACCCTCAACTTTGCTCACGCTATTAAAATTATGTTATTCTAGTAATAATAAGTGTTCTTCTGTCCATTGGGCGAACAACCTTAACGTTCTCAGGTAAGTACTACTAACTACTTCACAAACGTCGTTTTTCAACAAAACATCTGTAAGAAATTTTAAAAATTTAAATTCCTTAACAACTCAAAGCTGTTATTAAACATACTGTTACGACACCGGAAGTCACGTGACGATGCGAGCGCATGCGTGAATGAGTTTCTCGAATTATCAGGCGAACCCTCTTCTTTAGTATATAAGCGTGGCAGCGGAAGCCAGCGGCGTAATATAAAATGTGTGTTTTGCACTCGTAGCGAAGTTATCCAGATTGTCAATCGCTGTGACTTATAGCGTGTATTATAAAAGTTGTTAAGTTTAAAGTGACGAGAAACGTATTGACTGTGGAATTACTGTGTACTAAAAGTTTGTATGGAGAAAGAATAAACTGGTTTAATCAAGAAGGGACTTGTATCGCTGAAGTTCCTCTGAAAGAATTTATACCGGAAATTAACAAAAAAGCAGATACGTAACAATACATAAGAGTTTGTAAAGTATTTTTTTGTATTCATATTCATCCAACTATTTTGTTTCTAACACTTTACGTGTAATTTGCAGTTATTAATACTAAACTTTTATATGAAAGCAAACAACAAAATGGGTATAAAAAAGAACACTAGTTTCATTGATAATTTTCTTTCTACGTTATCAAAGACAAGAGAAAATATCAATTTTTCTGTCTTTATAACGTTACGACATTTGTACGGTTTATTACTACATGAAATGCTCATCAACAAATTTCAGTCTTTACAAATTTAAAACAAAAATGGTACAAGTTAGATAAGTAAAAAATCTTTGGTTGGTGGTCTTATTTGTGAGATTTGAAAGAGCGTCCACTTGAGATGAATTGTAACTACAAATGAACAATTTGATTGAACTTAACGGGTTTTTTTTAATAACATCTCCAAGACATTTGTGTGTGTGTGTGTCTATTAACCATGTCTGCCACTATGGCAACATTATATGAATATTATTGCACCTTCTGTGTAAGAAAATTGATTAAACATACTTTCAAGTTTAAAGAGAAGACCACAGGTCGGTATAAACAAAAACGTCACACAATATATTCTAAGCTGAGTTGCAACGTGAGAGGAATGACAATTGAAGTTAGAGTCATCCAAGAACGATGAATTGATTTTCCACTTTTGTTATCTGGATAAAAAAAATGACACGTTACTTCTTTATGATCTTACAATTGTCGTGTAATATTTTAGTTAACATGTATATATTCTAAGCTGAGTTGCAACGTGAGAGGAATGACAACTGAAGTTAGAGTCATCCAAGAACGATGAATCGATTTTCCACTTTTGTTATCTGGGTAAAAAATGACACGTTACTTCTTTATGATCTTACAATTGTCGTGTAATATTTTAGTTAACATGTATATATTCTAAGCTGAGTTGCAACGTGAGAGGAATGACAATTGAAGTTAGAGTCATCCAAGAACGATGAATCGATTTTCCACTTTTGGTATCTGGATAAAAAAATGACACGTTACTTCTTTATGATCTTAAAATTGTCGTGTAATATTTTAGTTAACATGTATATATTCTAAGCTGAGTTGCAACGTGAGAGGAATGACAATTGAAGCTAGAATCATCCAAGAACGATGAATCGATTTTACACTTCTGGTATCTGGATAAAAAAAATGACACGTTACTTCTTTATGATCTTAAAATTGTCGTGTAATATTTTAGATCATTCGTTAACATGTATATATTCTTACAGACGTAGCAACAACCTTTATGGGATTTTTAAGTTATTTCCAGCTTATTACAGATCTCGCATTTCTAGGTATCAATTCATAAGTAGCTATACTTTAGATATTGGAAAGTTTCTGTACTTTCAAATAATCTATAAGCTGTTTATGTGTGCGTAATGACTTTATTAAACCTTAGCCTTCCAGATTTTTCTCCTCTTTCATAACGCTTTCATATCTATGTGTATAAATATATTCAAGCGTCTTTTTGTTGTATTTTTCTTATGTTCATTGGCGCTTTCATGAATAGAGAGAACTTGTCCAACTTTGGCTTGCATCAATAGAGTGAAATTGTCCAACTTTAGCTTGTATCAATAGAGAGAACCTGTTAAACTAACTTGTATCATAGAGAGAACCTGTTCAACTTAAACTTGTATCATAGAGAGAACTTGTTCAACTTTAACTTGTATCATAGATAGAACTTGTTCAACTTTAACTTGTATCATAGAGAGAACTTGTTCAACTTGAACTTGTATGATAGAGAAAAGCTGTTCAACTTGAACTTGTATCATAGAGAGGACCTGTTCAACTTGAACTTGTATCATAGAGAGAACTTGTTCAACTTGAACGTGAATAAACACTGCATTACAGTTATTTTTACCTAAAGCAAGTGTGACCAGTCTCTTTACTTCACTGGTTTATTTAATCCATTTACTTGGTAAAACTTGTCCTACGATACTTCCTGCTTAGCGTAATTTTTTACTTACCTGTTGATCATCATTTTAATCCAAGAATACGAAACAATACAAAAAAAAAATATGGCACAAGTTGACTCTTAATTTGTTCAGTTTTGTTGAAAACTGAACAAATTAAGAGTCTTCACGTATTTGGAACGTCTCCAGGGAGTAAGTATTACCTTCAAACATTTCTACATAAAGAATGAAAAACAACAACAAATTGTTGTTGTTTTTCATTCTTTATTTAGAAATGTTTGAAGGTAATACTTACTCCCTGGAGACGTTCCAAATACGTGAAGACTCTTAATTTGTTCAATTTTGTTGTTGTTTTTCATTCTTTATGTAGAAATGTTTGAAGGTAATACTTACTCCCAAAGACGTTCCAAATACGTGAAGACTCTTAATTTGTTCAGTTTTGTTGTTGTTGTTTTTCATTCTTTATTTAGAAATGTTTGAAGGTAATACTTACTTCCTGGAGACGTTCCATATACATGAAGTCCAGATGTTTGTTGATGCCTTTCTATTATCGTTTCTTTGCTATTGGTGTTTATGACTTTCAATAGTGTAGCTGTACATTTAAGCCTCATTTCTCCTTCGTCGAAATGATGGGCTCTAACTGTAAACTGAAGACCTAAAGCTGAAGACTTTAATCCGCCTTCATACTGCGTCATAGGGTAGCGTAGCAACGAAACTGGTTGTGCCTAAAAATAGTAAAAGTAGTTATATTGCTGATACACATTTAAAAAGAAAGCCATCGAGATTTTATACTCTTATTCACGTATAGTGATAAAAATAACAAAAAAAGGAATTGTTTTGTTTCGTTTTTAAATTTCATGAACATATTTAAAGTTAATAGCAAATACCGAGGATGAAGTGATATTTTCGAAAAAAAGATCTGAAAATAGAAACAGAACAAATATTGATTCTCTTTGTTTATTTTTAATGTTTATAAACGTGATTTGTTAGAGATTGAGAATATGAAAATATCAGTATTTCCTCACAAGAGTTAGGACTAATTATAACATATATTATTTGTAAACCATTTCCTTGTAACACCAGTTTAAACAGTTATGGAAAGCAATATCTTATAACAAACTTTAACAGACCCCTCACGAGTCAGTGGGGGACATTTCTGTTTAAAAAAGAAAAACTATCCAGTCTGGTTTTTCTTAATCTGAACTGAAATTTTTTGGAGATGTTTATTGGCTAAAAAAAGGCATTCTCCTCACTATTTTAGCGTTGGGGCTGTGAAAAGTTATTTGAAGAGGTAAGGTGACTGAAATCCATCAGCGCATCACGAGCTTAACAGCCAAGCACAAGAAGTATGGAAGTCTCCAAATGACAAACAGAGGTTTTCAGGAACCCTTTAAAATCACCTTGGTAGATATTGTGCAGCAAGCTGAGTATAATATTATGCCTGTAGCTGCTTTCAAAATGTTTCTGTCTGCTCATCCTACTGCTTACTATCGTGATGCTTCGACCTTCCTTACCGAATCGTAGGTGAAATCGTTCGTATCTCCATAGAAAGCTAAACATAAAAAGGTGATAGCAGTAGCATAAAAGGTTGGCAGTTGCTTAATTAATGATGCTCAGAATGCGGCTTTATTGATATATACTGAATTTACTCCCAGCAGGTAGACCTTAGTACTAGCTAGTATGGAGACTTGAGGATGTTATATTTCATTTTAAATATTATCAATTAACAAACGAAAACCTTTCTCGAAGTAGTTTCGAAAAGATACGTCCAAAACCACTCTCTCTGAGAGTTTTCTGACTGAACTTACTTTTAATATTCAATTGACTTGGCATTTCATTCTTTAACTCTAAACTTATGCAACATGTCATTTGTGGGTATAAAAAAGCATTACAGGTCTTTCTTTTGCCTCCTAAAAGGTCTTAGTCCAAAATCTATTGTCTCTCATCGTCCAACCCAACTGACGAATTCTGCTTTGAAAGAAAGGTCTCTTTGGCAGTGGCTTGTGGGAGAGAAAAGATAAATTTGAGATACCATTTTACCACCCTGGTATTGAGTCCGAAAAGGACAATTCAAGTGAAATGTAAAAAAAAAAAAAAACAATTAGTAGTATACGTAATTTGTTTCACAAATGTTAGACCATTTTTATACAAAAAAAAGGAATTTATATCAAACCACTTTATAATTAGGATGTTTATAAGATAAAATAATACATATATAATAAAAACAAAACATAAATTGTAAGGGTTTTTAATCTTATTTCTTCGTTCCCATAGATAATGTTTATAAATAATCAATAATACTGTTGTTTAATTTCATTGTTGTTCTCGCGTCACGCAATTAGAACATTGTTTTAATCTTATTTCTTCGTCCCCATAGATAATGTTTATAAATAATCAATAATACTGTTGTTTAATTTCATTGTTGTTCTCGCGTCACGCAATTAGAACATTGTTTTAATCTTATTTCTTCGTTCCCATAGATAATGTTTATAAATAATCAATAATAGTGTTGTTTAATTTCATTGTTGTTTGTTTGTTTGTTTTGGAATTTCGCGCAAAGCTACACGAGGGCTATCTGCGCTAGCCGTCCCTAATTTAGC